TGATTCACCGAATAAATGGTTATCGAACCATGTACGAGGATTTAAACAGTCCATCTTATACGTTGAATGTATGATAACAATAATGTTTGTGAATGAATTTTCTACTTGATAATTTGATGGATGATATGATAATTTTATCGTATGCATGAGATGTACAAATTAGCGTTTGGAATAGACTTGGTAATTACACCAAGATCGATTGAGATGGATGATTATTATATTGAGATTATGATGAGAATGATGATTTTATATGATGTTCATATTAATCACATAGACTTAGAAAGGGCCTGCATTTACCCCCAACCATTTGATATCATTACTGACGATCATTAGGATCGATGAGGCCAGTGGCCAGAGAGATATGATTGTGGTTTCTGATATAACCACTGAGATGATGAGGCTCGAGCGGGGGTGGATGTATGGTGACCTTGGCGCCCAAATTAATAAAATGGAAATGCATTGCACTTGCACATTGTTTGGATATTGGATGCTAGGTTGAGAATTATATTAGGTTGAGACTTCAACCTAGATGCCATGATTAGGTGGTTAATCGATTGATGTGGAAAACGTATCCATAGACTTCGCCGTGTAGGAGGGAACAGTGCCACACACTCAGCTAAATTAGTTAGCTGACCCACTCCCCTTTTGTGTTCAGATCCGCAGCAGAGGGACTGAGCTTGGACGTTGGAGCTGTGCAACTGTTACTCCATCATGAGGTAGCGGACGATTGGTCGGAGGAGAGTTTTAACTATGTTTTGTGTTTTAAACCAAGTATCATAAACATGTATTATGTTGGATTTGATTGCATCGAACTTGATCGATTGAGTTATTATGATTTATGGATTGTACCAAAGTATGTAAGATGGAGATTTGAGTTTCAACGAACAAGTGTTTGGATTTGATGTCATGAGTTGGATGTTGTATGTTTAATAAATGAGATTGGATATTAATAAATGTGTTAGATTTGAAATATATATATTCACCTCGAGTTATGTTTAGTAAACGAAAGTTGCATATGTGTTGAATGATGAGTTAATACGTAAACCCTGTTAGTATTTTCTGCTGTGCGGGCGAACCAGTGGTTTGACCCACGAGTTTTAGGGTGGGGTATTACAAACACCTTCCCAACCTTCAATCTTCAAGGGCACGTTCTTGGCAACACCATGGATGGGTATTGCCTCTGAGTTGACGCTCTTGAGCGATCCTTGCCTCTTCTCGTAAGCGATCCCCAAGCACTCCGCCTCCTCCACTCGAAGGAAGTTTTCGGTCGCACCGGTGTCAACCAATGCTTTTGACTCGCCTCCCTCGAATTGGGTGATTACAAAGAATCTCCCTTGCTAACTTCGTTGGCACCGGACTTGCCGCGCCTAGTCTCCGCATGGAGCCTATCTTCCCTTCGTCTTCCCTAGCATTCTCCTTGGTCTCCCCTTCTTGTTTCTCCAAGGCTGCTAGCTTGCTCTTCTTTGGGCAATCTCGCACCTTATGTGGACCGTTGCAAAGGAAACAAGACATGGGTTTGTCAAAGTTACCAGATCTTGCTCCCTTGTTCGAGCTTCCATGTTGGTACGAGCCTTTCCCTTCTTTGGAGTGCTGCCGATGATCTCCTCCCTTGCTCTTCGAGTTCTTCGACTCGTTCGGTCGCTCACTCTTCTTGTACTCCGTGAGAGCCTCTGCCTTTGCCAAGGCAGTAGCAAGATCTTGCACTCCACGCCTCTCGAGCTCCAACTTCGCCCAAGGCTGCAATCCGAAAAGGAAGCTAAACAAAGCCTCCTTGTCCGGCAGATCGGGAATCTCGAGTAGCAATTCCGAGAATTCCTTGACATAGTCACGAATTCCGCCGGTGTGTGTGAGTCGTCGAAGCTTTGCACGAGCCTCCATTTCGACATTCTCCGGGTAGAATTGTCTCTTGATTTCCCAACGGAAATCCTCCCATGTGTCCATCACACATGTGCCTCTCTCTATATCACCTTGCCTCCTTCTCCACCAAACCATGGCCGTGTCGACCAAGTAAAGGGAGGCAGTGCGCACCATGACTTCATTATCATTGATGCCCGCTGTTCTAGGATCCAGAGGAAATTCTCTAATTCCCTCGCATTCCTCGACCCACCGAAGTTTTTAGGCCTTGGAACATCTACTAGCGGTGTAGATTGAGTCGCGGCAGGCCCGTTAGCCACGGCTTGTTTGACGAGATTGAGCTCTCCTCGAAGCTCATCAAACTCTTCCCGCACTTTGTCCACCTGGCCTCGAACCGTCTCCCTCAAGGAGTCGATGGCGTTGGTGATGATGGTCACAAACTCGTCTCTGAAAGCTTCTAACCCCACCTCCAAGCCTGCATTCGAGTGCCCATGTCTTGCATGTCGTCCTTCGAAGTCTGCACCTCTCCGCTGACTTGATCGAATTTCGACTCCATGTCCTCGAACAAGGTTGTATGCTTGGCAATATTCGTCTCCGCTTTCTTGAGCCTCTCCTCGATCGCCACCAAAGGCTCTCGAGTTGATCTATCACGATGCTTCCTTGCATTTGGATCCTTCTTCTCCTCACGACCGCGTTGTTCCTCATTGTTGAGAACTTCGCTTCCGGATCCAGCCATCTCCTCGAGGTTCTTTCTTACTTGATGAGCTCGACCTTGGCTCTGATACCACTTGTCACATACCAACTCTTGGCCATGCGGAACTTAGCACTCAAGTCTCGTTATTCACTCAAACTCACAAGTTGGGAAATTCTCTAGAGATGGAAAGCTCTCTTATTTCTGGATGATTGAAAAGTGGTGGAGAGGGCTCCTTATATAGGCTTCCTCTCCACTAAGTACAATGTACATGGCCGTCATAAATGAACGAACCTAGATAGTCCCCCCATACATGAACCAGCCCCATACATGAATGTGATAAATAAGATGCATGAATAAGAGATAGAAAAGGGGGATGCATGTACATTGGTGCATGAATCGGAAGATGCATGCACGTACTTGAATCCTTCTAGAATGCTCTAGAATCTTCCGCATAACAGTATCCACGGGTTTATGGGTACCCATGGGTTTTTGTCGTAAAAAATTTACAATAAGAAGTTCCTATCAAAATAAAAGTCAAATATCAATCTCTCAATAGAAATTATGCATATATAAAATACCATTCTAGAAAATTCAAGTAAATCACAAATTAACCATACAAATTATTCAACACCAATCTAGAAAACTCAAAAAATTGAAGCAAATCACAAATTATCCATATACAACATGATTAATTGAAAGCTTCTTCCTCCTTATCAATTAACCTTCTTAACTCTCCACTTGATAATATCAACTTAATTCTACACAAATAGAAAGAAAAAATTAGACATGTCTCCACAAACATAAAGAAGATTAGTTGTTTAGAATATTAAATATCGGGAAAATTAAGTATATGGGTGTGGGCGGGTACCCATGGGGCGGGTTTACCTAAATCCAAACCAAACCCAACCCGATAAATAGTGAATGGGTTTAAACCCAAACCCAGCTCAAAATCCGTTAACGCGGGTTTTACCCACGTTGATCGGGTTGGGTCGGTTTGGGAACCCATGGGTTCGGGTTTTGTTGCCATCCCTAACTGCCACCACCATTAAAAAATTCTAGCCTCTAGAGTGATTTTCGGGTGCTGACATGGATGAGCAGTTAAGGCCCTGGGCTGCAAATGAGCCGAGATGAGCTGAGATTTACCCGAGTTTGAGCTTGACTTGTTAACAAATGAGCTGAGCTCGAGCCATTTATTAATGAGCCGAGTCGAGTCGAGTACGATCTAGGCTTGTTTACTAAATTCTTAGATGGTATTTGATACATTCATTTTATATGTCGTGTATGGTACATGTGATTGATGTAACGATAACAAAATAATCAAATGCTCAAGATTAATTAATCTTATATTATAATTTGTAAGTGTCATACTGTTTAGTTAATAATTTTAACTAGTTCAAATCATGTTATTTCATAGTATCGAAACAATTTTGTACATAATTTATTTATAGAATTAAAAATAAGGCATTTTTTCTTACATGTTCAACATGTTAAACTTCACATGATGTGAGATATATAACTTTACAATCCTATGAATTATGAAAGTCCAAATTAGATCGATTCATCCATAAGTCAGTGATCAAGTTGGCCCTCAAATCACGATGTTGAGACATCTCATGAGCTCTAAATGAGCCAATTCACGAGTTGAGCTCAACAAGCCACCGAGTTGAGCTAGCTCGCGAGCTTCACAAGCTGAACGAAGCTAAACTCAAGCTTGGCTTGTTAGTAAACGAGTCGAGTTTCGAACGAGTTTTTCCCAATTTGAGCCTCGAGTTGCTCGCGAGTAGGTCGGCTCATTTGCAGCCCTAATTAAGGGGCCTCCGGGTTTCAGTTCACTGCAAGGTGCAGGCCGCACGGAGGATAAATGATACAAATATTGTTTTTTTTTTTAATTTTACCACAAATATGGTGGATGAAAAAGTATTGATATGTTTATTTTGTTTTTCTGTAGAGTCAGAGGCTGGGCCGCTGGAGACTCAGGTGGGGCCGCGTTTGGAAACTTTGGAACCAGTCGGAGGCGCTGGCGCCTTAGTCTCCAGCGCCCCTGCCTTCACCTCTCTAACCTATTTTAAAAAGAGCCAAGGACCATCCTCTTCTTATCTTATCTTCTTCATCTTCCTCCCCCCTCCCGTACCAGAGACTCCGCCAAGCAACCCCGGCGTAGTCACAGTCGTCGCCGCCACAGAGCAAGGCGCCGCCGCCGCAGCTGACAGAAGCGCCACCGCCTGAGTTAGTCGAAGATGTCGTCCGACGAAGACAAAGTTGTCGCCGGCAGAGGCAGGGGGAGAAGCCGGCGAGGTCGTGGAGGTGGCGGCCGTTTTCGCGGTGAGAGTCTCGCCGGCGACGGTTTTTTTTTTAATTAATGTTTAGTGTTTTTTTTTAATTAATTTTTTTTGCTTTGCTTTTGTAGTTCCTAGGCTTATGGACCCTTATTCGATGAGACTACTGCCGACGACAATTGATCCAGCTTCGGTCGATCTGAAACTTCTTTGGTGACATGGCCAACATCGTATCGACTCAGTTTGGGAAAACGAGGTAAGTATTTGATAATTATTCATGTAAAGTTAATTAGCTAATTAGATTATTTTAGTTGGTGAACTGAACTGTACTAAAATTAGAATAGGATTACGTATCAATTTTTTTTACATTAGTATAATTTGATATTAGATTAGATAGATTAGAATTTATTAGGTGAAATTAGAATTATTACGAATGAAATTGAATTAATATAAGTTTTGTGCACTATAGGCTGGTGATCGATCTTACCATGTTCGAGGTACGTCCAATTTAGTGACGTACCATGAGCTTTATCGGCCATATCTCGAAGTGGCTGGCTTGTTTAGTGTTTTGCCCTGGTCCCTATGAACTCCGATGCGAGTTTGATTACTGCGCTCATAGAGCGGTGGCGACCCGAGTCCTCGACATTCCATTTACCGTTTGGTGAGTTCACGAACACGTTAGAGGACGTTGTGACACTGTCCGGTCTGGCGATCGACGGTGATGCCGTCGTAGTTGACATACCGGATGAGGAGTGGTCGAAGATCTGTTTGAGACTGTTAGGACGGGTTCCAGCTAATGTTTCAGGCGGTGTCGGTGTCGTTATGACTATTTGGCTGGGGGATGAATTCAGTCATCTGCCAGGAAATGCATCCCAGGAGGTTACAGAGAAGTTTGCACGAGCTTATGCTCTATCTCTGATAGGAGGTGTATTGTTCCCAGATCGGTCTAGAGCTACGGTGCACCTACAGTACCTACTTCTGGTTGAGGATTGGCTGAGAGCTGAACGGTTCGCCTGGGGAGCAGCTGTTTTATCCTACATGTACCGTGAGATGGGTAGGTTAACTTTGCACATTACTCATTCCTCCACTTCTCTAGGCGGTGACCATGGTGGATGGGTCGCCCTAATGCAGCTCTGGGCGTGGGAGCGATTCCCACATCTGATACCACGACATTCAGAGACGAGGGCACAGATTTCCAAGGATGCATCCCCACGTGGTCTTCGATGGCTTCCGGCCAACAGTTGTCAGTATGTTGACCAGCTATTCCAGTACAAGTTGTGGTTTGACGAGATGGATACCATGGTGGTTAGTATATAACATTTAATTTTATAGAATAGTTTTCATTTGTTTGTTTTAGATTTAGGGATAATAACGTGACCATTTTTTTGTGTAGTGGCAACCTTACGTTGAGAGAGCACTTCATCTCAGAAGAAGTGTGATACAGTCTGAGACGTTTCGAGCAGTAGTGTCACTTATCTGCTTTTCATTGGTGATGTGGCACCATCCTGACCGCGTGCTTTGGAAGTTTGGATGAGGCAGCATGAGCCTCATCCGCCACATTCTGAGGCTGAGGTTAGGTTTTTTCTTTGTCAGACTACTCGTGGGCCATCGCGTGGGTAGCAGTTGGTACACCACTACAGAGAGTCAATTGCTTTTTGGAACCGTCGACAAGACTTTGTAGCGACGGCTCCATACAGTGATGAGGTCTTAGCCTACCACTTGGAGCATATGGAGTGGTATCGAGATGTCACCAGACGTTCAGGCACACAGAGAGGAGTTGCAGCAGAGGCATTGGTTGATTAGTTCTTTGTTTACTTAATTTTTTTTGTATTTGTCTTGAATTTATTAATTGTGTGAAATTTCTGACATTTCAATTTAAATTTTAGTACGACACCTTGGAGCATGCTGAGTTGAGTTTACGTGATGGAGTAAGGGCTGGAGGATTGTCCACCGACCAGTGTGAAGAGTTGGCCAACATGATAGCATCAGGGGTTGCTACTTTAGGTTTGGAGCGGCGCAGACACCCTGATCTCACAGTACCTGTACAGCCAGCTTATGATCAGCCCGTCATGGCTGCCTGGCCAGAGCGTACTGATCCAACACCGGACTGGGTAGTCCCGGAGGCACAGTTCATACAGGTGCATAGGCCCCGTAGGCAGCGACGTGAGCATCGTGATGCACCTCATCCAGTCTGGATTTCAGATCGACAGCGATCACAGCCCGTCCGGTCTACTACGAGGAGCTTCCCGTTTAATCCGCCTCGGCCGCAGTTTTAGTCAGATCCTTCTTCGAGCTTTCAGCCTCCGCCTCGGCCGCAATTTCAGCCAGATCCGTCTTCGAGCTTCTATCCACCAGAGGATAGCATCCATACACCGCAACATGCTACGATGGGAGGCAGATACATGGCCTCAAGTGGTGATACTAGAGCAGTCTCGTCTCCCAACCTGTGGAACGCTCTAGAGGGTGATGCGATCTTTCAGGAGACGATGTGGAATTATGAGCAGCATCTTCAGTCTCAGCAGCATGGTGGCGGTGTACCTGAGGAGCAGATTCAGTCTCAGCAGGATGATATGTTCGGTACACAGGATTAGGATGGTGGTGTCGTGGGAGATCAGACCCAGGAGTATGATGGTAGACCTCCACATAACAGGGTGCCTGCGAGGTGTGGTACTGGCGACCATCTAGTGGTGGAGCATGGTGGTCGTCGTGGCGGTCGTTAGTGAGACTATTGTGTAGACTATTATTTTTGGATTGTTATTATTATGTACTTCTTTGAGACTATTATGTGGACTATTATTTTTGTTATGTTATTATGTTATTAACGATAAATACTAGGAACAACCACTACTTCAAACCATAACAACTACATGAAAAACAACAACAAATACATTTGATAAAAATTCTACCAAACTACAACAACTACATACCACGTCTATTACCACTACTTCCTCTTCAACCACCTCTCCCACGTCGTTGGCCAACACTTTCTCTTTGCACGCTCCCACTCCCACTTGCTTGACCACCACAAGTTGATGCATTATGGCCACTTTGGTTACATTTGCTACACACTGTTTGAGATACACCCTCTCTTGGCCAATCCATCTCGTTGTGAATTCTTGTAACTCGTGGCCTCCCCGACTTCCTAATCATGTGCACATTAGGATGGATAATAGGACCATTATGCTTCTTCCAACCCTTAGGTTCACCAAGAGGTGTGAAACTTGTCCCATAACAAGCCATCACTGTTTCCAGCTTGTAGACATCGTTTACAAACCTATACGGATTAGCCCCCATTCGGTTGCAAGATGTAATGCCATGAGAGCAAGGAATTTTATTTCCCAGGTGCAAAATCATGTGCGGTTGCGGTCGTCAAAGTGCACTGTGAGTGTGTTTAACCCCGGCATGTTGGAATTGTTGGGAGGAGTCTGAACTACATAGATGCCTTGACCTCGATCAATCGCTGTCACGGAATGTCCAACTGCCTTTTGTGACCACGGCTTCATCAGCTCTTCGCACTTGGTGGAGTACTATGAAGGACCACTTTTAATTTCTACTCCTGTCTCCAACCTCATCTTATCAAATTTCTCCACCAATCGCCAATAGGTATGTTGCACAAGAGAAACTATAGGAAGTGAACGAATACCTTTAAAAACACCATTGATGCTCTCTGCCATGTTAGATGTCAAGATAGACCATCGACGCCCACCATTATAGCTATCATGCGCTAAGCTCCAACGAATTTGATGTTGGTCCACCCAGTTATCACAAGAAATATTTCTATCAGCTGCTAACTTCTTAAATTGCTCAACTTGACGACCGAACTTCTCCAAGCGTTTTTCTCCGGCTAACAAAGTAAATAACCACACGAGTTAGACAAAATCATGACAAAATTACATTAAAGTAAATAACCAAAATTAAATGAAGAAGGCTTACTGACTCGAAATAGTTGCTTATACATGATTTTGCTTTTAGTCTTTCCTTGCAAGTTGCTTGCATAGTGTCGCATGCACCACCTCCACTCCCAACCTCTTCGGATGTCACCCATGGCTTCATTGTCCTGCATGTCTATCCGAGATGATGCAGATATCATTTCGATCGATCAAACCTTGAACGTGATTTATGAACCATGATCAACTTTCAGTATTCTCGCTCTCCACAATGGCAAATGCTATTGGAAAAATCTTCTTCCGGCCATCAAATGAGCTCGCCATGAGTAGCACTGCTTTATACTTTCCAGAAAGAAATGTTCCATAAACAACCAGGACTCCTGGACAATTCTTGAATCCATCTATACAAGGTCCATAAGCCCAGAATACTCGCTGAAAGATCGAATGCCCTGGTTGAGCTGAAGGAACTCTTACCCAATCAATCACCGATGTTGGCATTTTTCTCTTGACCACCCGCAAGAATGTTTGCAAATAATCTTAGTATTCTTGCCAATTTCCATACAACTTCTCCAATGCTCTTTGTTTCCCATACCAAGCCTTCTTGTAACTAACTTGCATATTAAACTTATATTTCAACTCGGCCTGCACAGTTAGAACACTCAGATTTGGTTGGGCACGTACCAAATGTTTGACGGCCTCAGATATCATGTCGACATCAAGATGGCGATGATTCGCCGGTTGAGTCGTACTGCTACAAGAATGCACCAACTCGACCTTTCTCACAGTCCATTCGCCTCCAACATCTCGACATCCAAACCGCACCATCCAAGGACAATTTTCATCCTTGTGCCTCAAGCATCTGACCTTCCTGATTGAAGGTGACGACTCCACCACGCCATATTGAAAGTTGCGTTGTAGTGCGTGGTGTTTAATCGCCATCTGTGCAGCTTGTTTCGAGTGAAATATCTGCCCATTGTAGAATTCTCCTTTAAAACTAGCAACAATAGGCATTGGAATTACGCCATATGAATCAGCAAGTGATAATTCGTCGTCCTCTTCATTACCCTGCAAGTAAATATATTGAGGATAATTAGGCTGCTCTCCTTCCCCCTCTTCCTCCTCCTCCTCCTCATCTTCCCCCTCTCCGTCATCACCGTCATCATAGTCATGATCGGATGGCACGCTCCATGTATCATCTTCTTTCTCTCCACTCTGATCCTCACTGAGCTCAACATGTATCTCAGCACCCAAACAATAAGGATTTTGTGCCATAAAATTTCAAAGCACATTCAAGCTATCATCATCCACAATAGGCATCGGATAATGAAATAAAACACGATTATGCTATTATGGAAGACGGTAAGTGAAACCTGTGATCATATCACTATCTTGTACTGCTTCATCTCTACGCCGTATTCTCGGAATTAGATTCTCACAAAGTTTGTGATATGTGACCCTGGATGGAACCGTCAACTGAAAACTACTACCACCAACGAATTTTGACGCCCAAATTATCCTCTACTTTCTCCGATTTCCACCGAACGACTAGTTCAAATCTTCTAAAATCACTACAGAAAAACAAACTCACAAATTAAAACTAAACACAATCATAATAGCATTTGAATAATATAATTAAAAAAAACAATGTGTCTCTTACCTATTAGCCATTTTTGCAGTAGCAACCAGAGCTCTCCTCTATCTTCGTCGATTTTTTTTGTGGTGTGAATAACTGAAAGGAAACTCGCTGGTTTTATAGGGGGGTAGCTAGCAATAAGCCAGTGGACCCGCCATAGTCCTGGGCGCCAGCGCCAGGTACAAATTCCCACCGATTCACCTTAGCCTCAGGCAATACCACCTCAGTCTTGGGCGCCGCCGCTGTCACCTTAAACAAATGATCCAAAAAGACAGAAACAGCGGTAGCGCCTGAGTCTCAGGTGGTCCCGCTGGTTTTTCTCGTCAAAACACAATAACTGTGTCAATACTTTTTAATCCGCCATATTTGTGGTAAATTTAAAAAAACAATATTTTTGTCATTGTCCCCCACACGGAAGGCGTTAAATGCATTAACAGTGAGCATTTTTCTCTCCCATTTTTGGAACCCTAACCGTCCATCCCCGTTTACCTTTCTACTGCCCGCAACAATGATGACCATGCTCGCACCATTTTATCTGATTTTATAGATTTTCCTACATGTCGGGTAGCCCATTTTTGCACCTTATCTCGACCATGATTTCCCTCCCGTTTAATTGGGAAGCCAGGACTTAACGATAGTTGTAGTATACGGCGGTTGGAGGGCGTCCCCATTGTTCACGCCGGCCAAATCTATTGTCGTCAGGATTGTTCCGGCAGAGGAGCGGCCATTATCCCTTTCTCCGCCGTTTGTATAGCCTCTTGAGTATTGTTGCCTTGTCTGAGATTCAGTGTCGGCACTGTAAGCTTCAGAGGTCAGTTTTCCCATGCATACTTTATTACAAATTACCTGCCGTTAAAAGGATACTGATGGGTTCATGGTTGGCTGGTCGTGTCAGCGCCGCATCCAAAACTCAAGTCCGCGATTACCGGTGGTGCCTCCACCTCGCTTGCTTCTGCTTCTCTAAAGAAGATGATAGAACCTAAGATGACAGAACCTGGGGTTAGGGTTCTATCTGGTCTGGTCGTGAGATTGGGATTTAGGGATTAAGAACAGAATTAGCGATTTGAGAAGAGAAAGATAGAGAATCGGCCTATGCCTTTAGAGGGATTGAGAACGAGAATTGAGAGGATAGGGAGATTAGGGTTTATAAGGGTTTTATTAATATTCTTCTTGATGATTCCGAATGAATAGGCCTAGTACATATTTATAGCGAATATAGGAAAACCCTACTAATAATCTTAATCCTACTAGAATACTACTAACCATAATAAGAATTACCCTATTAGTAATTATAATAATAAATATAGAAACCCTAATGAAGGTTTCCATCATCTCCTCCCCCTTCAAACTAGCCTTGTCCCTAAGGTTGACCGTCTTGACCCAAATTTTCTTCCTTCCAGCGCAATTGGCAAGCTGACGAACTCATTTCTTGCGCTTCTGTTTCTTCCAATTATGTTCCATCTTTTGAATTGGGCTTCTCACACTGATCATCTGGTTCTAATTTAACTCTTCAATTTTCTCCTCTATGGGCTCACTAATCACTTCCTTGACAAAGTCAAACTTCAGTCGCTCCTCTTTTGTTGGCATCATACTCCAGACACTTATGGAATCCAAACATA